AATCCAAAAAATCAAAACAACAACAACAACAACAACAAACCACCCAAGAAAAAAGTAAAGATAAATCAACTCAGACATAAACGAAGATAAATCTCAGTTCAGAGACTGTGAGGGCTAGACATGTCTTCATGCATCAATAACAAGTCTGTTAAGCAGTGAGCACATACTCAGGTTTGCCACTGAAAAATCATAAAATCTTCCCTAAATATTAATTCGTTTACATTTCACAGTTCACCAGTAAGATTTAACCAGTACATTCTCCAGAACAACTTGCATYGCTGACTATCTCCAGTCACACTTCGCTGCAAATGCCTCAGTGGTGAGGCAAGACACCTTGAATTGAAGTCTTCATCTGTTTTGGATCCAACCTACTGTCTAGAACATATGTTAAATTTCTGCAAAACATGAAAAAGATAAATTTAAAAAAAAATGAAGCACATTTTTAAGGTACTTGCTCCTGCATCTGAAAGCAGCTTTGCTCAGAAATGAAATTTGAGACAGCCCCACCACTTTCCATTTAAGTATCTTCCACTGCAACATCTTTTTTTACTAACTTCACTAACTGAGCTTTTAAACAATGTTTAGGATTGTATCACTGATCCTGTTTCATGCCCAGATATGTTCAGGCAGAATGCACAATGAGTTAGCTGATTTTTTTTGGTTTATATAAAACACCACAGAGCTATGCCGGGATGAGGATTCAGGAGCCCTGCCTCCCACCCTGGCACCACTGTGTGCACCACTAGCCAGCCACCATTCAGGGCTTCGGTGCTAGCTTAGCTTGTCTGGCCCAGTAATAATGAAAGGAAGAAAGGATTTTTCACTAGGAATTTGGAGTATTTTCTCATTATAACCAACCAGCATGACCAGAAAAAAGACTCCTGATGCAATCCGTGGGCCTAGTTCTCACTGCCCCGCYGGCAGGGCCTGAAAGACTGCTGGGGCCACAGCCCCACTTCCCCGGGAGAGGGGAGGGAGAATGGGCTAAAACCAGATCCCGTCCGTCAGGTCTTGTATCCTGCCTTCAGCACTGCCCAGAGCTTCACGGTTCAGGGAAAAACAAACAAACAAACAAAAAATCCCCCCTGCTTCCCCCTTCCAGCACCCGTGGCCTGTGGTGCAGTAACCAAGGAAGCGACTCATCCCGCTACTGGCAGCCAGCCCTTCAAGAAATGAGGACTGGGCAAGGATAAATGCCAGCTAAAATCCCAACTCCTGTCTTGTTCTTCCAACCAAAACTAGAAAATAGGGCAAGATGGGCAGAATTTGGTACCTCAAGGGCTTTCAAGGCTGGAAAAAAGGGCAGCTGAGCATGCTGTGTGGGGAAGACAGTGGGCCTGGGGGAGGTCAGTGCACAGAGGGATAATGTATTTTTCCAATGGCACTTCTGCAGCATGCCTGRGGTATTGATTACTGCCCACCACAAAAACAAGTCATCAGAGGCGGATTTTCTTCGTTTCTCTCTCACAGTCACTCTCGACACTACAGCAGCAGCTGAGGGGCCTTCTCCTGGAGAAGGCACAGCAGGAATAATCCCACAGGTCATGAGGCAAGGGCAGAGGCCGGAGGGCAGGGAAGGTCAGCACTAGGCAGGCATGACATGGAGCTGCTGAAGCAGGCAGAAGGTCTGTTTCTGGATCCTCCAAGCCCTGCTGCCAGAAACTTAAGATGCGCTTTGGGAGACKCAGGGACAAGGCTCCTGGTAACCTGCAGGAACAGACAGCTGACGGCGTCTGTCCTGGGAGCGGGAGCAGGGGGAGGAAGGGGCTCCGCTCTTCATCCCCCCTGGTGAAACTGTGTTCTGTTTGCACCAGAGCAGCCTCAGCGCACTTGTGGCTTCTCATTCAATGAGAATGTGCGCCCACAGAAAGAAGGAGGTGCTGGCTGATGCAGYGCAAGGGAGGAGAGAACCCCGTCAAGGCACTGCTCACTGCAAAGCCTGGGTGCACATTCCCAATACAGATGAAAGAAACAATGCAATGCCGCAAACACAAATTTGCACCAAGCCATCAAAGTCCTCAGCTTTGTGCACTGCTATGCTATGAACCTCCTTGGCTTAACTCCTCTTTCACATGGCCACAAGTCAGAGTGAATCTTTTGCTGTTGCTGGAGTCACAGACCTGTACAATAGTCACAAGACACAACCAGACTCGCTGTGTGACTTCAGGTCTGAAGTCTTGCTGCTCCTCTAATGGGGATAAAGACCACCATGTTTGTCCACTCAGGCTGAAGGTACACTTCCAGCATTCCTTGGGGCTTGCTGTGATCCTGAGAAGGTGCTGGGGGAACTGGAGGGGTCAGAGCGGTTTGTACCACCCCACACACAAACCAAAGCCTCAGACAGGAATCATCTACATATTGCTTTCAACTCCAGTCCAACGCATGGTACTTTCTCCTCTCTGCCACCAGATTTATTCTTCCCTTTTCACTGAAACACAAATAACTGGAATTTAATTTTCCCTCAAGCAATTTTGTCATTACATGAGTTGTGTGGAATAAGCACATAGTAGATCCATTCTGCCTCTCCCCTGCCACCTMTTCCTTCCATCAGGCCCGTTCTTTGGCCTCGTCATCACCCTGTCATACAATCTACTTTTCACAATCTTGTGAGACTTTGGTCACAGTGAGACTCGAGGCTTTCCTAACAGCTCCTACACAGGCCCTTCACTGCTAATAACAGCACAAGAGAACAGAGACAGGCAGCATTTTTGCTGAAAGCCATGTTGGATCTGCCCAGTAAGAGAGGCCAGGCAGACAATGACACAGGCTTCTCCTACCAGATCATGCCAGTAGTCTGTTTCCTGCAAAGTCAACTCATTCAGAAGAAAACAAAATAAGTTAGTGTACCTAGCCAGTTGCAAAGTGGAGCAGACAGAAATATGCCCCTCTTTCCTTCCCTGACAGGGCAGCCAAGGTTACATTGAGAATTTTTCTGTCTCCTTTTTTGCCCATCTGATTTCATTTATCTCACCATGGTTTCTGGCTAGTAGCAGAACCAAGAATTTAATTTCAATATGTTTGAATCTGGAACCAAACTTTCTTAGAAAACAGGAATGCTYGATTTTGTGTGTGTTTTGATTTAACCCATTATTTTGCTGCTTAAATCCAGTTAGAAATCTGAATATGTCTGACACTCCCAAAAGTTAAAGCTCTGAATCTGTTGCTTCATCTTTAGCAAAAAGAGAAACAGAAACCAAATAAAAATAAGGAGACAGGAATGAAAAAAAGAAATCAAATGAAAAACACTTTTCTGAGGGCAACTGCTAAATTTCACAATAATGTTCTACCTGCAGATTTGGAATATCAGCTTTCCACTATAGATACTACAAGTCCTGGTTGCCAGAGTGCTAATTTCCAGAATGCAAAGCTAGGACACAACAACTTCATTCCAAATACTGTCTAGCACACTGGGATTTTTCCTTATAATTTTTATCATCCAAAGATAGAGAAATTCTGCCTCTTCCTGAAATTAACTCTTTGCCTCTCATAAGAAGCCCAAAGAAGCAAGTTTAGCTATACAGGACACAGAGGCTGCACAGACTGAAAGAAAAAAMCACGAAGCACTACCTTTTCTTCCAAATGGGCACAGGCACTGCTGGTTTTGGGCACGGGTGACTTAGGATTTGAAGATACTTGCTGGAGTGTATTTCATTGCCATGCTTTTTAATAACTTTTCTGCATGATGGATGAGTACTTTTTGTTGAAAGAGGTCACTGCATTTTACCTTTTGCTCCCATGCTGGGACTGTTCACTGTGTCAATTCGTGTACATGTACATCCTCTGAGCTGCGTCCTGACACCATAAAGCAAAGCCAGTTTGGGCTTCCTCCACTTGGCAGAAGTGACAACCAGGAGCCTTTAGGTGCACAAAGCACCCTCCACTGTGCCTGCATCTGTTCGAGGTCACAGGGGACATTGGGCAGCTTTGGCCTCGGAAATAGAGGATAATGATGTGCCTCACCAGGACACACCTCTCAGCCAGCCATCCCACACTGGGGAGTAAGAGAGATCCTGGGCTCATCTCTCCTATGCAACTTCAGGGAGAGACTCTGGCCCTCTGCCTCTTGTCAGCACAAGACAGACCYACTGCTCTTGTCATTTCTGTCATTCCAGCCACCATCCGTGGAGGAACCCAGGATGTGTGCTCAAAGCTGCACTTCTTGACCTCCTCTTTCAGTTCTCCTCATCCTCTGCACAAATAACTCTACTCTTTCAACAGCAGTTCAAGTAAACTAAGAATTTCAAGAGAGGGTGGACACTGCTGRTATGTACCCAGCCCAAAACATATCAGCCAAGCTCCAGAGCCATGGGCCAGCTGGCCTGGTCAGGGTAGAGAGGGAAGCAGTTCTAAGCCAGTGTACTACCCAAATTTGAATCAAGAGAAACAATCCTTTAACATGACAACACACAGGGAACCGCTTCCCATTTCCACACAACCAATGTCCCAGGATAGCTTTGATCTGTCTGGAATGTGTGAGGTTCAGTATATAGTGACTTCACTCACTAAGACTCCCAAGTCAGCCCTGGAAGAAAAGGAGAAAACAAATACAGCCATTTACTCCTTTCCCCAATTTGAACTTGACAAATGGCCTTCCCCAAAAGATGGGGAATATGCCCTTCCCCAAAGATGGGCTGCTCTCTTGTCCCCAACCTTTGCTGTAAACGTCAGCATTGTTGTTACCTCCATTAGAGCCTCCTCTGTTCTATTGCTCTCTGAGCCTGGCGCTGGCTAAGGACGCATCAGACAGCACTCTGTTTACATGCRGCCTCTGTTCACATGGCAGAGACCCAACAACTCATCAACCTCCTTAAAAGCCATGAGAAGATATGGGAAGCAAGCAGAACYGCTGCAGTAACAACACTGTTCTGACCCCTAACCACTCGGGCTCCACAATAGCAACATGATGAAGACATTTGATAAAAAAGTGGACTTCAGTTAAGTAACTCCTATCCTTGTCAAACACTAATCTCAGTCCCTCTCCCAGGAGCCCATGGTCATACCTGGAAAAGCAGGGTGTTCCACAGCTGAGCACTCTGTGCCTTGTCCTTGTGCTCTCCAGTATCTTGCTTTTTGGGAATTAGAGCCTGGAGAGGTCAGAAGCCCCCAGTCACATCAAATGAAGCTGTGGCAGACAGCCCTAAATTATTAATGTCTTTAAATACTAAGTACACTCGCAAACCAATTCAGCCTCCAGCATGCAGGCTGTGCATCAACATGGTCCCAAAGAGATCACAGAAAAAAAAAAACTTCACTAAGGACTGTAAAGCAGCAGCTCTGTTTGCACTGACACATTTGTCTGTCTCTCCCCTGGACAGAGGACACACAGAGTCAGGAATCACTCCATTGGTAATCATGTCCACTCTTCTCTTGCTATTTCAGCCACTCCTTGTCCCTGGGAGACACAGAGCAGTCCTAACCAAAGCTCCATTTTATTTACATCCAAGAATGTTGTCTTGCAAGCGGTGAGATTATATTTCAGTTATATGGCAAGAGAATCATACCTCCACATCTACAATTTTACTTGATTTTKTTACTGGAAAGACTGCAATTCATTAACATATCTCTGCTATTCACAGTCTGATCTTTCTGTTTAACTACATCCCTTTAAAACTAACCTTACTGACAACTTACTTCTGTAAACTTCCATTTTGCTACTGATTTAGTTTCATCCCCCTATGTCATCCTACCTCTGGCTTCTCACCACTGCCAAAACTGGCCTGCAGATAACAACTCKGACTTGATATTGTGATTATTAACAGTTTGCTGTTTTCATGCAGCTTTAATTGTGTTTCAAGAGGAACTGATGCTGATTTTTGYTCCTATTTCAACACTTGGAAAATGCATGAAAATCCTGCATGTTGCAGGAAACAGGAAGAAAGCTTTCACTTCAACTGTTTAGAATGTACATGCAAAAAAAMCACAATCAAAGTACTCCTGTTTACCTCCTCCACACCTCAATTTTTCTGTTATTTTTCTCTGCCCTTCTGGGAATGTATCTCTTTCACTTCTGCTCATCTCTCTCCCACACCCATAGGCATGCACTGATTTGTTATTGCTAGGTCACTGGTGATTAAAGGTCTGGATACGCTAGTTTATTGCAGGGTTGTCCCTGGCTTGATAGGCTGTTTGCTGTTTTGTGATTACAGTGTTGAAGCCTCATTTTTGCAGTTTGCTGCCTTTCACATACGCACACACAAACCACCACAACATACTTAGTTTGAAATGGCAAACAAAGAAACTGACTTGGGCTTTGCAAACAATCCGAAAGGCAATGAGGGAAAAGGGGGTTACAGATCCTGGAAACGCGGCGTCCCTGCCCCGCCTGACTTCTCTGAGTGTTTGCCATTTTTTCTGTGGTACYGGAGTAAAAAGGTTCAAGTGCCACGAAAGCTGCATGGCTGTTTGCTTTACTTGGCTGCAGAAACTCAGGCACAGCATATTTATCTGGGAAGCTGTTAGTTGGAGTGGGGGAAAATCGCTGGTCCCTTTTTGCTACTCAGACTTTGACTGCAGCTTTTACAAGTTGGATTTGGCTTTCTGAGCAACAGGCAACACAAAGAACTGAAAACCTCTAAAAATTATTATGGATGTTTTTACACTTATCAAATATAGCAGCAAGCCCCTCCTCCTGAAATGTGTTTCAGGCCCCTTCAAAAAAGAAAAAAAAAAAAAGGGGATTTCAAAAGCAAAGCTCACAGCAGACAGAATTTCCGTTCTATTTTGAAAAGTCCTGTGTATACCCCTACTGCATTCCTGTTCTTCCCTCTCCCACAAAAAAAAAAAAAAAANAAAACACATCTAGCAGAGACAGAGAGAGCCGGATTGTTTAAAGTTAGGTTTGGGAGAATATTTACATCGAAATATCTGTTCACAGAAGTCAAATTCAGTAGCTCCTGGAGACTGGAGAAGTTTCATTATTTTTAACTTATATGTACTTGCACTTTATGTTCTAACTGAGGTAGGCCTCAGGGAGGGGATAGCGTGTCTTTATATACCAGAGATACACGAGATTTTTAGCTGCCGGTCCTACTGGCTGCACCATCCCTATCTCAGGCTCACCAGCAACTAACTTTCAGCCTGTAGACAGGTGGCTGAAATAAAGGAGCAGGGAAAAAGGGAACTTGAGAACCTCAAGCATTTCTGGAGCTGTAGTTTTTTTTAACCTTGAAGGGCATTGTAACCTCCACAGTTAGGCACTTATTATTATTGACAGATTTCACTTACAAAATGCTGTTAATAAATGGAAGGGAAGKACTGGCTCAGAGACCTGATGCTGCAGCCCCTAAGAATCACAGGAGTTTTGCTGATATCTTTGGTGACCACTGCATCAGGTCCTAGAAATGACATAAAATCAGGTAATGATAAACTCAAGCTAAGGATTAGGTCACACAGCAAAAGAGCATGACTAGATGCTAACTGATTCACTCATTGATTAAYGAAATTTTGAGGTCTGGAATTTCAAATAGCCCTCTAATATTACCCTGCGTGTGTGTGTGTCCATAGAAGGTGGATTCTTTCCCACCAAGCAAATGCCTTCAGGCTCATATTAGAATTATAGGTTAATTTTAGTTTGTCATTTTTCTGGGGATACCTGACACAGTTTCAGCTAAAGCAAATCTCAGTGTGACAAAGGTAAGTACTGCAGCTGCTGGATGGAAGTGGAGAGAGGAGGAATTGGCACTGTAAAATGAAGCATAGTTCACTGCTAGCACCAGGCAGCTGCAACAATATATTTCTCTACAATTACAAAGAAGATGCATCTCAACCAGCTCAAGTCAAAGGAACGTCAAAGTTTTCCACTTTCTTAGCTCTGAAGCCTTGCAGAGATGTGTCTGCCAAATTACAGTAAATAAAAAAGACACTTGCACAACAGTAACTGAAGACTTCTCTCCCCCACTCCATAAAAAAAAAAAAAAAAAAAAAAAATAGAAAAAGACAAACTTCTGGGCATAGCTTAAAAGCCACACAACTTCCTCCATGTGTGTATTCTCCAGCTCCACTGCAGATACTTGGAGTTACATAAAACTGGGCAGTTAGTGATTCTGGCAGCTGCAAAACTGCAAAGTTCAGGGGCTGAGGAGGGCGTGGCCCAAGCTGAAGTCTTCCAGAGAGCTGTACCAGATGGAGCRGAGGAAAAAATGCTTCTCTTTCGTCTCAGGAAGGTGGAGTTAAAAGTTCTGAACCTTAAACAAATTTCAGAGAATTTCCCCATTCTCTGTTCCCTGTGAACACTGGTATTGATAGTGCTGGTTATCAATGATGATTTGGACCTTAAAAAGCAATGAATGTTCCTTCCTGCATGCGGCAATGCAATGGCTTTATGGTGACACTGCAGAGACTGATGTGCTGCAGTTAACCCCTGTTAGCCAGAGCTCTGCGAGCCTTCTCCCTTATGAACCTGCAGCATGTTTACATTTCCAGCTGCATGAAATCAAAGTGCATCATGTAATGAACTGCACTAGCTACCAAACATGCTCCAAACCAGCACATACACAATAGAATATGCTTTTGTGTTAGAACAYCTCTCTACTGAGATGACACTAAATTGAACAGTTATATTTAAATTATAATAACTCCTAAGATTTGAACTTAAAACTACCCAGGTAGGAAGAGTCATGCTTCTTATCTAAGTGCTAAATAGTGTGTTAGTTAGCATATGTTGCAAGATGTTGGAATTTTTCAGTGTAAGTAGTCCCAACTGTCTTTTAAAACATCCTGGCTAGTCAGGCTTAATTTTCTACTTCTGGACAAGGTTTTAAAACATACTTTCAACTGTGACCAGCTGTGATACACTAAGGGCAAAATAGCCTTYAACCATGTGTTACTCAACAAAGACTGAAATACTGTGTCCAGCCTACTGCATACACTGCAGGAAAGACATTTGCAAGCTGAAGAGAAGTCCAGTGAGGRGACCTTAAAATGGTTAGGGGCTGGCATATAAGAAAGGCTGGGATAGCTCAAATTCTTTACCCTAGAAAAGGCTAAGGCAGGAGAGCTTGTATAAGAAAACAGAGTATTTTAACTTTACTCTTTTGATGAAAATGTTGATTAAGAAGCCAAATTTGGATGCTTTTCAGAAGATAATTTGTCAACTAGGATCTGGAATAACTCACTTCCCATGAGTGAAAACTAGTAATTTGATTTTTGATTCTTTTAACTACCTGATATGGAAACCAATGCAGATGACCTAGAGAGGAGACACTGTTTATAACACATTACCAACTACTACAAGGAACTGAACCATATAGTATTGACGATGGAAATTTGTTTTAAAGACTGAATTTTCTGCATGGTATCATCAGTTCTCAGTGAAATAAGCATAGCAAGGTCAACTATGTTTATCTGTTAACTATGAACACAAAACACAAACTGCTCTAACTCAGTATGGAATCAGTCAGGTAACTAAATAAAGTAACTACTTATGTGCAATTCAGTCTTGGTCAAGTCACTCAAAAGCTTACCACTTGAGATTATGGCTCTGCAGCAGCTGAAATTAAAATAACAGTTGGCTTATGTGGTACAACTCTAGCTCTGCATTACCATTCTTCCCTTACACCCAACACTACCCGTTTTACCAAGCTGTTTCTCTGATCTAGGTCAACATAAAGCTTGCCTAACAAAAATTAACATGGTCTTTGGTACAAAACAGTATCATAGTAAAAGCTAAAGCTATAGGCAAGAAATAACATTTTATTTCAATTTCCCATTTCATTTTAGACAGCTGCAATTTTCCTCAGATTTGGGAGCTGCGGGGATTGTGAAGTTTTGGAAGATTCAATAAAGTGATTATTCTTATATGCAAAATAAAATTTCAACATGCTTTCYCTGTTACTGCCAGTTCACATTCCTTAGGAAGAAGATGAAGTGAAAATTAATGAAATTCAGTGAATGCTTGCTGGAAAATGCTTTCTTTAGAATGAAAATAAAATATAGGCATGCCATTGCAATACTTAGAATGGAATACAGAAAGYATTTCAGCTATTTTTTATATTCTTAGAGAATATTATATAATTTGTTACTTAGATGTCATTAAGCTACACTCAAAAAAAACCCCAAAAAAACTAGACATACCAAGTAAAAATTA